AAAAAATTTTCCAAAAAAATATTTTTTTTCAAATCTTTTTTTGGGGGGTGTCAAAGGGGGGTGCGGTCGCACCCATCGCACCCCCCCCCCATCTGACGGCCCTGTGAAAAGATAATAAATGTTTTAATATAAAGTTGACGTAGTTATAAATGTTTTCAGCGTAAAATCAAAGCACAACCATATAATTAAAAACATTACGCTGGGATTCCAACTGGATACAACTGACGAGTTGTATTTAGGTGGCCTAAAGTGCTGCTTATTTTTTCGTGAAGCCACTCAGTAAAATTACGATTTCTCTGCACCCTGATGTTCAATCAACATCATTCGAGTATCTATATGTTCCTGACACGTTCGCGGGCATCCGGTTATGACAACGTCTACCCAATGTTTGCACGAGAAATTGACGTAATTCATGACTGAAATCGGGAAGACAAAAATATGTGATATTCTTTCAGAATTGTTTATAATAACTATTTACAAAAACGTTCCCGAGACACAATCCATTTAGGTAGGGTTTGTTTTAAAGTCGAAAAGCCCCAATAAGACAATACAAACCCAGATTAAGGTTCAACTGGAAAGTAACATTTTGGTAAAAAATTGCTATAGCTGCACATGTTATTTTCTGGTACAAAATTAAGTATGAAGGCATATGTGTATTTCCTTGCTTTTTTCAGGAAAGTATCATTACACTATCTTCTTTTAGAATATCTGGAAACAGATCAATGGTAGCTCCTGTGTTGTCTGGAAACTTTGAAAGAAAATTTGGAAAAATAGAAAGTGTGAAATATCAGAATTTCCTGGAGTTCCCATTGAACGCCTACCAGATATTTTAAAAGAAGACAATGTAATGATACTTTCCTGAAAAAAGCAAGGAAATTGACACATGGCTTCATACTTTATTTTGTACCAGAAAATAACATGTGCAGGTATAGCAATTTTTACCAAAATGTTACTTTCCAGCTGTACCTTAAACCCAGAAGAATGCAGATTTCATGTAATGATTTACGTTCATGTAAACAAGGAAAGTACATATAATCCCCATATAAAACACTGGCCTACGTGACATGTAAACACAGGTTCAAATTGAAATATAGAAAATTTTCAACATAGCATTTACTTCTGTGTTCTGTATGCCCCTCTACCTGCTTAATAAGGCAATGTATCTTCAAATAAAACCTTAGCCAAGTAGATAAGGGTCTCTGGAACACTTTTGTAAATAGTTTTCACAAGCAATTTTATTCCCGGACGCCCAAACGTGTCAGGAACACATATATATTTGAATGATCTTGATTGGACATCAGGTTGCAGAGAAATCGTATTTTTACTGAGTGGATTATTGAATTTCATAGATCTAGAGGCCCTTCAGGAGTGGAAAACCTTAAATTATCAGAGATTAATGTTTCCAAACTGTTTTGAAACAAACTAACGTCTTGTTTTCAACCTACACCTTGCTCCTTTCTGTCGTATTTAATAAAACAAAAATAGTATATCACAGAGGGATACGAACCACTCACCTGGGACTTGGTTATTCACTAGCGCCATAGGCGTTCTACTATTCTGGATACAACTGAAGAGTCGTATTTAAGTGGAGACAAAAGTGAGGATCATTTTAAATTGGCGCTCGGTATAAATATATAATACTTTTGTTCTTTCATATCGATAGCTCGTTGGCCTCATGGTTAGCGTGCCTGGCTTCCATTGTCTAGGTTAGTTGATCGAGACCCGTTCATGTCGAACTTTTTGATTTGCTTGTTGTCAAGATATAATAAGTAGGCCAAAATCCAGAAAAAGTAGATCAAAAATACTCCAATGGAGTATAAAATTGTCACCAGGATTCCGGAATGAGACGAATGTTAACTCGTGAAATCTCGGTAGATAAAGTAGGTCAGAAAATCCGGATTAATCCGAACAAGGTTCGGGAATTTCCGTCATAAGAAGTAGGTCAAAAATACTCCAATGGAGTATAAAATTGTCACCAGGATTCCGAAATACGACGAATCGAATCGGCAAACTTCGGTACAATAATGAAGTGCATAAAAATCGTGAAACAGGTGTCAGGGGCTTCCCCTCATCTTTCCATAAATGGTTCTAAAAGCCTTATATGGATCTATCACATGACATTCAAAATGACGTTCCTATATGGTTCTATGGGCCTTATGTGGATCTTTCGAACACGTGACCAAATCAAAATCAAAATCAAAATTTTACCTTGACCATTGGATGGGATTTCATAGAAAATATCAAAGAAAACATATTCTCGTGATCCTTAAATCACTTAAATTCGATCATTTTATCTTCACCCCTTGATGGAATTTTATGAAAGAAGTTATGAAAACACATCATCATGTAAGGGTTTTCACCTAAATTAGCTCGTTTTATCTTGACCCTTCAATTGAATTTCATTGAAAAATGTTTCATGAAAAATATCATCATGTTATGATTTGTATTTAAATAAGACCGTTTCATTTAAATACTTGCTGGATAATATTTCATAAAAAAATGCACTTTAAAAATATTTCACGATTTGCCTTAATTTATCAATGTAATGTAAGTATTAGATTGACTCTCAAATAGGGTTCTATTTTAACTTTTTTATTGAAATTAATACTAGGCAGGACTCACTCTCTAAATAGCTAATAAAAATTCAACCCTTGGATGTGATTTCGTTGATAAAAAAAATATGACAAGTCCAGAATCAAATGATTTGTCCAGAACCTCTTAAGATCCTGTTATAAGCTGATCAATAACATTGACTAAAAATCTATAAATTGCATCATAGGGAATAGCATGCCAAGTGCTTGAATTTATGTGGATTACTCATTTGGTAGACACCTTTATCAAATCTTAAAGTGTTGTTGATTTTCAAGTTGTACAAGCACAGTGTCATGGGTGCTTTCTTTTCCTGACATACTATTAATATTGTGGTAAAAATTATCAAATGCACCTAGTACAGTAGTTCTAGTTCATCATCTTGTATAAATGATATATCATCAGTGAAACCTGTATATCCCAACATCTGACTATTGTGAATACCTACCAATCATCCCAACACCTGACTAATCTGAACACCAACCAATCTGAACACTTTTCCCAGTCCAATTTTTCCTCCCATTGACTCCTATGTTTAAAAATTTGAAATCTGAACACCTCTTACTTCGGACAGTGAACACTCATATTTGAAAAATTAACCTGTCTAACTTGAACTCTTTTTACCAAATATCACATATTTCTCACAAAATTGCTCAAATATTGTCAGTTTAACACTGAATTGTTATGATATCAAAACGTTTGTATTGGATTTTGGAATGCTATTAAGCTTTTTATGTGGTCAGTATAAATATTATTAATATTTTCATTGAGAATGCATTCATATTTCTTCAAAATCCAGAACTTGTATTGTTGATGTAAAAACCTCAAAATTTAAACACTCCTAATTAGAATGCTTTTAGCTGGTCCAAATACCAGTAGCATTCAGATTAGAAAGATTTTACTGTAGTTCACGACTTTTCACTCCATCTACACTTGTATATGCAGCAGACTAACTGCTGCAACAGGTATATATTCTACACCTGGTCCCTAAGCTATATCATAGTTGATACTATAATGCTCATAACCTTCAATTATCATGGCTCATTCAAGGCTGTACCTGAATAACGTGAATTTGAGACCAATTTTGAGATCAATTTTTCAAATTTTGCACTTGTTTAAAACCTTTAACTTCCTTCAAACTCAGCTTAGGTATCTTTTACATTTTAGTTAAATACTCTTAAAACCATATATTTCATCCCTGGGGTATATATGTAAAAACCATAAGGGTCATCTTTGGCTATACCTGAAATTCGTAAATTTGAAACCTAACATTTACAATTCTTCAAATTATGGACTTGTTTAAAACCTTAAACTTCCTTAAAATTCATTTTGGAGATGTAAAATCTTAGTCCCACACTCGAAAACTGTATATTTAATCATAGAGGTATGGATGTAAAAAACATAAGGGTCAGCCGTGGCTATACCTGAAATTTTTAAATTTGAAACCTTATATTCACAATTTTTCAAAATTTGGACTTGTTTAAAACCTTAAACTTTCTTAAAACCCATCTAAATTGTGTTTTACATATTAATTCCACATGGCAAAACCATAAATATCATCATAGAGGAATGGATCTAGAAACTAAAGGGGTCAGCCATGGCTATACCTGGAATATGTAAATTTGAAACCTTATATTTACAATTTTTCAAATTTTGGACTTGTTTAAAACCTTAAACTTCCTTAAAACCCATCTAAATTATGTTTTACATCTTAATTCCACACTTTTAGAGGGATGGATCTAGAAACTATAGGGGTCAGCTATAGTCATACACAAAATCCAACTGTCAAAAATGTCAAATTTTTCGAAAAATCAACAATTTTTTTCTCAGCTCCTACTATTTCAATGGCTTTGCATCTTTCAGGTTTTCTAACCCTGCTATTGGGCACTTCCCACGAATTTTCAACCTCTTACAGCGTCTAATTGAAAAATCAGGATCAAAATAGTAAGAAAATGAATCACGAATTTGCCCCCTGGGATACACACTTTGTACTAATATTCAATTTTCTTAGGAGCAATCAGCATCAATTATACTGCAAATGATTCATATATATAATATCTATGTATGTCACTTACAAACATCAAAATATCTAAGGTTATTTACTGTGAACAATTTTTTCCCCGGTCGGGGTGTTTTTGGGGGGTGGGGGGCTAACTCCTCAAAAAAGAACTTCCTACCACTCTGTGAAGCTATCACCTAGGTGGAAGTTTCATCCAAGACTCTCCCCTAACTGAAAATGCAGCCAAACCAACTATACACCATTTATTGAGAATTTTCCTCCTCGCCCCTTGAGTAAGAACACATTTGGTCATTTGGGAATTATTGAAAGAATATTTTTGAAGTTATGTGATGAAAATTGTATAACCGATTTTTACTCACTAGGTGTGTTAAAATTTAGAATATAAGCTTACTAAACATGGATCCTTATTGCATTTGTCGCATATGTTACATCCATCGTTGTCTTTTTGGTGTCCATTGCGACAGTGCATTTCACATATATCTCCATTGCATACCTTTGGGACAGCCTTATTAGTCAAATCAATTTGAATCACCTTTGGCACTGAAATATCAAAAATTAATATCGTGTCAAAATCAAAGATTGGAAAGGACATAGAAGAGTTTATACTTTTGCCTGAACATGATCCTTTTATATGTCATGCTTATTTTCAAATTTTGCTTTAAGTCTCAAATAAACTTTACATATGGTTATACTTAACGTCATGTCATCAGAAATTAATCTAAATGGCTGCTGAACGAGTTGAAAGTCCCGATATACATTAATTGCATCACCGCAAATAGTAATTGCTTGTTTTAGTTGAACCAAAAATACTGATGTGTTTGAACAAGTAATTTATATCACATTTCCGTTCATGTGTTTGTTTGAGTTCACTTTGACTCCACTTTGATTATGTTATATTGTATATTGATGTGTTCTTTCTACACTGAAAACATAGACGACATCTTGAAATATAAGATACGTCAAACGTAATAATACATTTCATACTTTCTGTAAAGGGTCTACCGTTAGAAAAGTATACATTATATACCTCGTAATATATACATGAATATATATATACAGTAGTTTTAGGCTAGTTTAATGAATTATGTATGTTCAACGCAAAAATTACATAATTTCACTGATGGGACATGGTCATCCGTAAAGAAATGATCAGCTTTTTCCTGTTGTAATTTTAGGTTAACCTTCGGTTAAACGTTATAGTTCATTCCTCTTTTAAGCCGAAATTCTATTATACTTGCTTCTAACGCAAGCGTGGCAGATTTGGCAAGAATGGATACCGATTCAGACTTGTCCATATGCTAATTTAGGATATTTTGCATAATATAAGATACTTACGTTTCATATTACACACTGGACAGCATCTTCCCGGAGGTATACAGGGTGTCCCAAAAGTATGGGGCCCCCTAGGCAGACATATTCCAGTGTCCTCATAGTATTTGTCATATATCATTTTAAAGCTTATCCAAATTGTTACATTGATTTGCCAAATATCATGGTTTAACTCCCAAATGGGAAAAAGTTACAGTCATTTTAAAAGTTAGTGTTTTCTCAAAATAAAGTTCAGTTTACACCACATTACTAGTCAATGAGTCCCTCCCCCTTGATCATGTTAACAGCAGCAATTGTTTCAGATATGACCTTAAAAGCCCTTCAAATAGGGGTGTGGAATTTTATAACCCTCTTAAAACCTGTTAAGGCACTTTAGAAGAGTTTCCTTAGAGTTTCTACCCTCACTGTTCTCTTTTTCCAACTCAATATCCATCCAACCCGAAAGGAATTGCTGCTGTTAAGATGGCCCAGGAGGACATATTGATTATTGATTTGGTATAAAATTGAACTTAATTTTGACCAAACACTAAATTTTAAAATGCCTGTAATTTTTTCACATTTGAGAGTTGAACCATGATATTTGGCAAATCAATGTAACTTTGGATAATCCTTAAAATGATATATGACACATACTATGACGACACTGGTATATGTCTGCCTAGGGGGGCCATACTTTCGGACACCCTGTGTCTGAACCTTGTGGACAAGTAATACTGGAACATTTTACACTTACGTTTCATATTACACACTGGACAGCATCTTCTCGGAGGTATATGTGAGCCTTGTGGACAAGTAATATTGGGACATATTGTCCTTTTACAGTCTGAAATTGATGAAAGCTATTGACATGGTATGCGCTTATAGGCCATCACAATTTAGAAATAATTATATATGATTAAATGTTTTAAGTGATTTATCTGAGATTATATTATTACACGACCTTTTCAAATCGTTAAGGTCCAGAACTGTTTGGCCTTAAGGGGCCATATAGTGAAATGATGAAAACAAAAAAACGTAAAACAATGACAATTCCTTCAAATCGACTTTCAATTAATTTTTCTCTGATATCCAAGTTCATATATTTTCAATGATTTAGCATTTGTGCATCGCTATATATTTTACCTTTATATTTACATTGTCTTTCACAGTTTTTCTTGGAGCAAGTCACGAAATCTTGGATTAGGTTGAAGTTGCATATGCACTTGTTGCATTCGTCTTTAAATTTTCCCCAGGCTTGTATATTTTGCCCTTGTAGCCACAAGATCCCCTGAAAGGATATCAATTGAGAATCAAATATATAAGCGCAAATGCCAAAGGGAAGGGTGACTAAAAACTTTAAGGAAACCCAACAAGAAAAGGAAACTGTAAGTGTAAATCTAAAGAAAAGAAGACCCTATATATCCCAAAATAATGATCTAACGTGAAAAGAAACACTGTCTAGCATCCCCCCTCAAATCGAGAACCAATATCACAAGCCAGGACCAGAACACCAAGGGACATTTCATTCATACTGAAGTCATTACAATACAGGTTGAAGAAAAATTGAAAAAAATTGATAGCCAATACTCATAACATCAAAAACAGTTGTAGATACTAGAACTCATAAAAATAGAGTCTCAATTCAGTCTCAATTGATGTGGGATAGATAAAATCCAGTCTCGAAGTCCATAGGCAATTCAAAGGGTCCTCAACATCCGTTCGCAAAGCCGTCATCATATTTCATAAAACACAAGAATTCACAATGGTCATCAGGAGAAAACTATGGCTGGTTTCGATCCCTATTTCTCAACCATTAATGCCATAGCTGGTGAGTTCATTGCCAATTTATCATACCATTCCTACATCCTTCAGCATCTCAAGTGGTAAAACTTGAAATTTCGAAATTAATAACTTGTACTTTTCAGCAAAGCCCAGAAAGATTTACAAGTTAAAAAAAAGGTGTGGCTAAAGTGTAATGACTCTCGATAGCAACTTAGTAAGTGGCTAGTACAGTCTCAGCTGTAATGGCTAGTTCCTTTAGCTAAAGCGGAAGAGAGTTAGTCTTGTGAGCGGAATGTCCTAGGTTCGATCCCCGAATGGGGCATTAGATTGAGCCCACTCCCTTTAGGTATTGTATCTGTATCGTCACACTACAGCTCCCAGGATGGGTGTGTCTAAGGGTCATTACAAAAGAATTAGTAAAAGCTTGCTGTCAAAAGAAGGTGTATGTATTGTAGCGGGAGCGCATTTTTCTTATTTATTTTCAAGTTTTATTTTCACGCTTTTCTGATCAAGATCAAATTATGTTTTATATATGGATAAAAAGAACAGTCTTTTGCCAGCATTGCAGTTTTTATGTTATGCAAAAATGTGTCCTAGTTTTTGTGTAAGATTGGTTTAAATAACTAGTGTAAACGTGTGATTTTATTTAATTCCCGGCCGCCTGGCACACATGATTTCAGTTCTTATTTACTAATGTTCTTTCTCATTAAATACAGAGAAGAGTATTTGTCCATAAATTATAATAATTATTTATATTAAATTAAGGGTGAATTGAGCTTTTAAACGGTGTATTAAACTTTGAATTTGATCTCATACTTTAGGAGATATTGTAATTTAAAAAAAGTGATTCTCAGTCAAGTTTAATATTTCTGATGGCATTCGGCCGACACTTTTTCCACGTTGTAAATTGATTGACAGGCTAGCGCTAGGTTTATTAGTCTTTGATGTGACAGGTATTTTGACATTGTAGCAAGCTTACAAACCTGTTGTCATAGTTGCATTTCCTTATATGGAAATAGATTGTCAAAAATATAAACGTTCTCACGATCGTTCAACGATCAGTCTAGTTTTGAATCGTTGAAGAGTAAGGAGGTGCGATCGCATTTTGGAATTATAACAAAATTGTATCATTTGGATTTATAACAGATTCGTAACAGATTGTGGATTTATATTGCTGTATTGAGTAACGTCAGCTATTTGTGCTATTAGAGATTTTACATTTTGGCATGCCATCTCCTGAACTAAGGTAAACTAAGATCATGTGATCATTTATATCCAATCAGAATGCATTTCTGCCACATAGTGATAGCATAGTGATCCAAAGCTAAACCAAGGTGTAGGAAGGGTTTATATTATCATATAGAAGGGGTGTACTCTTCTGATTGGCCATAGTTGACATGCATGTTTGCAAACTTAGTACTGGTATCCTGACAAAATGAATTCATACTACACTGATTGCCTGTGTCACATTTGCTCCGTTTGTTCAAAATTGTATTCAATTTTGAACAAAATACTCAATCGGCAGGGCGCCGTAGTGAAAATCGGAGCAATTGGTATTACTTGTACACAGTGCATACCAATAGCCCATTTCAGTATTGCAATTTCTAAGAATGGTTTACACATTTTATAAAGAAGGGTTTCCAAAATGCTCCATCATGGAATACCATGACCCTCTCTTCTTGCATCATAGACACAGACATGATTTTAGATGCGATGTTTATCAGAATTCTGATTTTCATTTGAAAATGATCTGACGTCTACCAATATAACTTGGCGGGAGCGTTCAGAGTACTTTCTTGATAACTAAAAATAAATGCCACTGTCACAGGAACTCTGCATTAAATGTAAATCCATTGAATATTAATCCGTATGCTTAAAGTTAAGTTACGAAGATCAGATTCTTTATTACACTTGATATTCAAAATCTAAGTAAACCTCTTATTTTGAAGAACCAACTATCCATCATATTACTCAGATTGGATTAATCAATATTCTCATAGTCTCTCTTGTTTGTATGATTGTTCAGTATAAATCAAACATCTTAAACATCTCAAACGTCATATTTTCTCCTTTCTTCAGGGTGTATAAACTAACAGTTCTCCAGTGTGGGTTAAGGAAGTAGTTATCAGAAATTTACACAAAACAGTAAATGAAAAAACACGTGGATATTCGATTTTTTAAAAACTGAATAGAGTTCTGTTTTGCCCATCAATCAGTTTTACTACTACTCATTTACATGACCAGGATCACAATGAACGTGCTGAGAATGACTCTAAACATCATGTGAGACTTTGTTGTGACTGAAGTTGTGACTGAAAAATGCTTAAAAAGTTTACCTTTAAAAATGTCGCCATACAGAATGTTCGGAATTATTCAAAAAATGTGCCATATATATTGCTCTAAATCATACGAGCTTCGAAATTTTGAAAAGTTGATGAAACAAAAAGTGTGAGCATAAAAAGAAAATGGATTGCTTTCTAAATCAGTTTACTCATTTTTTCTATTTCCTCCTATCATTTCAAATAATATATTTGGCACACTTTCTGAAAAATGCAATAGATTCTGTTTGGTGACCTTTCCAAAAGTCCAACTTTTAACTGTTTTAGTCACATTTTCTGAGTCACACTCCTGTGTATATACTTTCTCCAGTATGTATGAACCGAAACTAGGTTCATTTCCCATGTGCCTAAACCAATATTTTATATTTTTATTCACCAATGTTTCAGAATCAATATATTGTATGAAGAGACATTACGTTATATCTCCAGTATGAACATGTATATGAACCAACACGCCTGTGTATATACTTTCTCCAGTATGTATGAACAAATATCATGTACATGTACTCCATTGTTTATGAACACACATTTTGTATCAACAAATAATATGTAGTTTCTCCAGTGTGTATGAACGCAGATGTTTTACGTTTTCTAGTTTGTATGAACAAATATTTTGTTTATTCATCAATGTTCATGCATGAACCAACACATTTTAATTTGCATATGGAACCCAATGGTTAATTATAAGTACCGTATTTCCAAGTAATATTTTTTAGAAATGTGTCTGTTTGTGTAATTTAGTCAATAAACGAACTATAATTGTCTGTAATAATAGAAAAATTCATAGTGATTTATTGGGCGTTTTGGTAAAGCCTTTGGTTTGTAATGGGAAGATTGTCTTTATCACTACTACTTTTTTCAAGGCCTGACTGCGTCGCTAACATGCTAAATATAAGAGTTAGCTGACGTTTGGGAGTCTGACTTACATTCTAAAGGTTAGAACCCGAATCTTAATGAAACCATATCACCTTTGTTGCGTCGATGATGATGCATAAACATAGCATTTGATAGAAATTAGCGTAAATGCTTTTCCGACTTTTTCATTTTTCATCAATGTTGACTTCCGGGAAGGCGTTGTAGTTATCACGAAATAACGCATTGACCCTTGAACTTTACTTTGTTGACGTGTCAACCAAGCATGTCTGGTGTGAAAATTAAAAGAATATAAGGCAATGTTCTACATCCGCCAAGCTAAGTGAAGTAGTCAATATTTAAAATTACCAATTTCAAGTGAAGTACGCAACGAACGAAACTGCGTGATCTACACTCCCACTATTGGTCTGAATGAAATGCTACGTAGAAATATGAGCCGTCTGCTGTATTAGTCGATTAATAGAGTAAGACCTGTTGGTGATGCTTTATAATTTAGACCAAAACATTGAAGAACAAACGAACCTGTAAATCGTGAAAACAACGAACAAATATTCGGTTTTCACATATGTTCGGTAATTTTTCGTATTGAAACTTCCGGAACTTACAAGGAAATCATTCATTTTCTCGATCCATGATTTACCTCTTGGATGTTGTGGCAAATGCTCCATGGTTGACGGAACAAAGGTGATATGGTTTCATTAAGATTCGGGTTCTAACCTTTAGAATGTAAGTCAGACTCCCAAACGTCAGCTAACTCTTATATTTAGCATGTTAGCGACGCAGTCAGGCCTTGAAAAAAGTAGTAGAACTGTTCTGCATGGGGTCTTTTGCATAGTGATAAGTTATATACTATTCTAGTATATTTACTACCAATGTCTAGGTTTTATTCAAGGAACTGGCTCCACTGAGTGTGTATTCAAATGTTGTGCTTATAAAATGTAGACTCCTATACTACCTTATGAATGAAAATAAACTCTTCCAAAAGTGATAGGACCCTAGTGCACCCATGCCATCGCAAGGACCTTAGTAGTCCATGGTATGGCTCATAGATATTACAAATCCGTGGCACCATATATGCATAACGACATTTGAACCGATATTTAGGGAGGGGCATATGTCCTTATGCTTTTAAAATGCCATTTGGTAAAAAATATTAAGGCTTTCGGGTCGCATTATGTCTGTCATCACAAGAGGTCAAAAAACGTGAAACTTTTCATGCGCATTTTAGTGCATTTTATGAGACTCAAATTGTAAATCGAAACTTATATATAATTTAAAGGATTAGGATTACATAGA